ATTTTTCAATTGACCTAATCGTTCCAGCCGCACTGTGGCCTTGGGATTGACTCAGGCTCTAACAGAAATGAGTACCAGGAATCCTCCTGGGGTAAAGGACGGCCGGCGCGTAAGGCTGACAACCTCACCAACATCTGTGAGCCGATTGTCTAGATAATGTGGGAGCCTCAACGTCTCATAACCCCATGGGCCTCCACGGTTTGTTACCTTACATCAAGACTTTGCACTCACATTTGTTTATATTATCCAAAGATACAGTCGCTAGATAATAACAACTACCAGTTGTACTCGTATATATACCTGATTATAGGTCGAAACACGAAGCACACTCCTGTACATAACAAACAAAAGTGATACAACTTTATCTCTTTTGTCTTCTTGTGGAAGATACCTCTCTATGCTGTGTTGACGGTTCTCTTCAAACTACTAACCTGGATGAAAACATCAGCAGAATCTCTGCATATCTATCTACAGTCTCCGTATTTCAGCCACACCTTGTCCAATACGACACTCACTAAGCAATGCAATATAAATCTCACGAAGAGTGCTTTACTTCTGTAGCTCATAACCAGTGCATTCTCATGGTACTTTATGACCGGTAGGCCGCCTCTGTGGTCTAGTGGTCAGAGTTCCTGGCTACAGATCCTGAGGCCCGGGTTCGATTCCCGCAACTACCAGATTTTCTGAGAGGTAGTGGGTCTGGAACGGGGTCCACTCAGCGTCATGAGGATAATTGAGGAGCTACTTCAAGGAAATAGCGGCTCCGGTCTAGAAAACCGAGATTAACGGGCCTGGGGATTCGTTGCGCTGACCACCCTATATCCGTACAATTTGACACTAATTTCGCCGATAAGCGGCGGTCCTTCGGTCGGTATAGTTAGCTTGCGGACCAAAACAACGGAGTTTGATTTTTTGTTTTGTTTTTTGTGTTCTGCCCTCTTCAAATTATATACATGCAGACAGACGTCGCTTTAGGGAGATTCACATCACGAAATGGTACGAACTTCTATAATGAAGCGATATGCTAGGCGTCATTTGTTATCTGAATGCGAATTCGCTTACCCGAAATTCCTCCCAAACAAAAAAGAACACGTGAGGACAAACACGGAGACAAATGAAGGCAATATCACACAGTCACATTGCCTTTCGCTTTGTCTGGTATGCATCTCATACAGAGTATCCCAGGATGAAAGGTCAGTATTCTGGGAGGTCATATTATAGGCAATTTTAAGCAATATATATTCATATACATGTGTCCTATTCCGAACGGTTTCCGAGTTACAGCTATTTCACTGTACAGTTCTACAACTTTTGATAAGAAAGAGATATTACGTACTGTTTCTAACCGGTATTTATTGTTCAAGTTCGTAAAGTTTACATAGAATAATACATTTTCGAAAATTCCACCGTCAACATCAATGCACTTTGCAACTCGTGTGAGGACATGGCGTGTTGCTCTTCTGTACAGTGTACAGTGTACTGTGCAGTGAAATAACTCTATCTTGGAAACCGTTCGGAATAGCACACTGTACATATACACTATTAATTAAAATGGCCGATACTAAGATCTCCCGGAATATTGTTCTTTTCTCCTGTGACGCTCTGTACAAGATTATGCGTATTTTTAGAAAAAAATAAAAGTATTTATTGACATTATGTACTGCGTAGTAGTATTTGCAACAGTTACAGAATAATCCAAAAGCGTTTCGATGCTTATGTGCGTCGCTTGAAGCAATATGACTTATTATTTCTATTATTTTGGTCTTTCGTGAAGGTAACCCTCAATTACAGCAACGCGGTTATCGAAAACAGCGATTTGCATTTCGAAATTTCGTTTTTCAAACTGACTCTCAGGGAACACAGCCATCTGCACGAACTGGACCCTCTTTCCTCGGGGGTAAAGCGACCAGGGCGTGAAGCTGACAACTCACCTCCATCTGGTGCCGAGGTCAAGAAAAGTGGAGCTATACCTCCACTGGCCCATAGTTCTTATTAAGCACAGAGGTGGTAACTCCAAGTTTTATTTCTGAACTAACCTGCCAGACACATCTGGAGACATAAACGTTCTCAAGGCAAAAGACTCGCCAAGTTTCTTTCGATAAGCAAGTCCCAGTGCAGCAGTAACCGTTCGAAATGGCGAAGGAGGCCACGAACGACATGCGGGCCCTAGACTGCAGCTGGATAGGCATGGTTCAGGCTTCGGAGCCTATTCTGAGATAACTTGTGGTTTCCCTTCTTGGAAAATACCGGGATAGTATTAAAAAATCACGAGAGCCTCCTTCCGAATCCCTTCAAATTCATCAATCATCCTCTCTTCGGACCCTACATAGTCTCAAGTTAAGCGTTTTTAATAACCAACAAAAAGAGACATTGTGTAGTCTGGTAAGCGGGCACAAACACACAGCCTCTATCTTCAAAAGTACGTCCGTTTGAAACGTTCATATCTACCTACACGGCTCTACAGAACAATGAAGACCACCACATTGTCACGTGATTGTTGACTATAGACAGGATTTGGGTTGGTAATTGGATTTATTGCACACTTACAGATCGAAACTACACGTAGCTATAGCGCTATCGTTAATTCACACACTCTGCTGTTCACCACAGCATGTACTAAGTGACTTTAGTATGGAGTATCTTCACCGGTTGTCGCCTGGTAACGGCTTCCAACGTCGTAACTTTCTCAGTTTAGTTGTTTACGCCCTTCCTGGCCTGCGACTGCTCAAAACTAACTAAATTCTAAGACTTGTCCTCCTTAGAACACCTCGGCAGGGACCGCATAGAAAACACCGCTTCAATAGTTCTTCTATTGTTGTTTCACGTAGCTGTCTCGCGGATCGCGTAGAGAACACTGGTTCCTTGTAAGTCCATTGGTGCGTGTTAGCAATCTGTTGCCTAGCAACGGGTGTTGTTTACAAAGCCATTACTTAGCAATGGGTCTGTATGTTATAATATAAAGTTCGGAATTCTCTAATTAACTAAAACAAAAACAAATGAATACAAACAGAAAAAGGAAAAGGAGCCTAGCACAGTCGCAGCGCGATCTAAGGGAAAAAAATGCCTTCACCCCTCTAACGCTGGGATAATGTGTTCGAATTCCACTAGGTGCATGAATTTCTGTGTGTTTATTCTGTATTTGTGCTGTTCTATGTGTAGATTGCGGCCTTGCGACGACCTTCCCACGTCCAAAGTGTCCTACGGGCTGAGTAAAATTTATTCTACGTTTGTGATGTTCTGTCTATAGATAGCGGCCTTGCGACGGGCTGATCCCCGTCCAAGGAGTCCTTCCGACTGTCTGCAAGATTCATAATTTCAGGTTTAAATCCTGAATTTGAACAGGGCAGAGAGCTTAATTAGAAAAATTAGAAATTAAAAAATAAAAAGAAAAGCAAAAACTTAAAAAAATGGAAGTAAAATGATGAATGGAACAGATAAAAGGGAAAGAGAAGAACGTAAAGGAAAGGAAAGGAAAAGAAAAGGAAAACGTAAAACACGCATGCTTGCATGGGCACACACGCAGAACTGTTACTGAGAACGTGGGCGCGTTTAGAATAACAGACGTAATATCGAAGGGCTCTGATCTGGCGGAAAGTTTCGAGAGAAATCTCGATTAATCGCAGTCGACTATTTGAAACAATACCTTCATATTCACTCACCCAAATCATTCAAGTTCTATTTAATTATATACAGAATGTCCTAGGAGGAAAGGTCCATATTCCGGGAGTCCATAGTATAGGTCATTCTCGGCAAAAATATGTATATGTATGTGTCCTATTCTGAACGGTTTCCGATATATACTATTTCACTGTAGAGTTGCAAAATTGTTGATAAGAAAGATATATTACGTACTGTTTCTAATACCGGTATTTATTGTTCAAGTGACAAAATTGGTACAGTTTACCTAATATAAGCCATTCTTGTGACAGGCCGTGGAGGCCCATAGGGTTGTGAGACGTCGAGGCTCCTACTTTTTTGACAATCGGGTCTCAGATGGCGGTGAAACTGTCAGCCTTACACGCCGGCCACTCTTTACTTCCAGGAAGATTTCTGGTACTCATTTCTGTTAAGAGACTGTGTCGAACCCAGGACCATATTGCGGCTGGAAGGATTAGGCCAATTGAGAAAAAATCCAATGGCTTCATCAGGAATGGAACCCGCGACCTTCCGGCTTTTATCATTGTGCCTCAACCGACTACGGTACCGCGTGCCGCTTAACTAGTATTTTCGAAAATTCCATCGTCAAGAACAAAGCACTTTGTGTCTCATGTGAAGACATGGCGTGTTGCTCGTCTGTGCAGTGTACGGTGTACTGACCTTTCCTCCCTGGACACTCTGTATTTATAGCAGTTTATTTACGACCATATACAACGTCGAATGACAGGGTGAGAGAGGATGAATTGGAAAGGAAATGGAAGGAGACTGTTCCAGAATTTGCCTAAGACTGAAGAAAATCACCAAAAATCTCCGAACGGACAGTAGGTGCCCCAACCGACATTCAAACCGAGAACCTCGCGAATATGTTTCCGCTTGAGCTAACTTGTCCAGTGTCCAGATCTTCCATCGCCAAACAACAGGAGGTGTTGCGCTCACACAGGTATAACAGAATTTACCTCCCTCTTCCCGCCGCATCCTCCCTCCAACGGTAAGTGGCCACTAAGAGAAAAAGTGGGTCATCACTTATATAGAGAAGTTCAAGGTGTGGGCCAATCACTTGCTCTTCTGTCTCCGAGGTAGCAACCTGAGGAAGGCCACTGGGGTACGCACGAGAATTAACAAGGTGATTCCTTTATCCTCAGCATAACAAGTAAGTGCATCCTGCTTGAATTTACAAATCTGTGAGGTTATTTTATGTCACCGTAGGATGTGATATTATAACTCTCACCAGAATATCGTGTTGTGTGTGTGTGTGTGTGAAGCCCTTCACATAGTGTTCTTACAATTATAATACAGACATAACTCAGTTTACAGGATTATAATCTTGATAAAATACGAGACAGGCCCATTCTTCCAACAGACACAATGTTACAAACAGTGTTTAATTTCATGAGAGAATCGTCCATTATATGTAAGCAGTGTCCGTCTTTTAGTGCACTCAATTTTACTATTGATAGCTCAATCAATACGAAGACGCACACACATCCAACATTACAACACCCGCAACCAAACAGGGAACACGCAACACGACATACGATATACCCTGAAAATAAGAGGAACGACTCCCATAGTGGTGAAACTATGCGCGGTGTTAGNATGAAGGAGGAAGTAGAAGCTTCATCAGATACTTTGAGTCTTAAGTCAGGAAAAGTAATTTCTTAAAGAAAAATAATAAGGATAGCTAATAGATCCTTTGAAAATGTGGCGAAGTTAAAATATTTGGGAATGGCAGTAACACATCAAAGCCTGATTCAGGAGAAAATTAAGAGGCGATTGAACTAGGGTGATACTTGCTACCATTCAGTCCAGAACCTTTTGCCTTCACGTCTGCCGTCTAAAAATATAAAAATTAGAATATACAAAACTATAATTTTGCCTTTGGTTCTGTATGGGTGTGAAACTTGGTCTCTGACATTAAGGTCATAAATTGAGGGTGTTCGAGAACAGGGTGTTCAGGAGAATATTTGGACCGAAGAGAGATGAAGTGACAGGAGGTTGGAGAAAAGTACATAATGAGGAGCTTCATAACTTGTACTCTTCTCCAAGTATAATTACAGTGATTGAGTCAAGGAGGATGAGATAAGAAGGGCATGTAGCACGAATGGGGGAGAAGAGGAATGCATATGGGATATTGATGGGAAAGCTAGAAGGAAGGAGACCGCTAGAAAAACCTAAACGTAGGTGGTTGGGTGATAATAGATTTCAGGAAAGCTGTGTCGGTGTATTAGACTTGACTTATTCCAGATAGGATAGCGACAAGTAGCGGGCTCTTGTGAACATGATAACTAAACTTAAGGTTACATAAAATGCTCAAATCTGTTGAAAGGGTCAGCAACTACTGGCTTCTTAAGGAGGACTTAGCTCGGTGGAATTAGTTGTGTAGTTAGCGTGATTCCTGAGGTTGAGGTATTCTGTATAAGATGTTAAGTCTCTTGCGGCGGTGTGTTGTCTATTGTGTGGGTAAAAGTGTGTGGAGGAAGATGTAGCCTGCATCTTTAGTGTAAGAACAGTGCAGTGTGTTACTCCGAAACTTTGGTAATCATGTATTAAATGCATGTAATACGGTGTCACAACGCAGGAGACCACAAAATGAATTTAGAGTTCAACATTTTCCTTGTAACGTACTACTAATTTGCATGGGCTACTTTCTAGAAACTAACGTAAAATACACCTATATATACTTGAAAGCAGGGCTTAGATATGGGATGTTACTAATGATAAAAATCGAAATCGCCCTGTCCGAAACCTGGGTAGCCTTTATCAGCTTGCATCAGAGTAAGGAGACGAGTGTCAAACAGGGAAAAGTTTTGACTCGAAATTCTGTGTTTTCAATCATTCCGAAAAAAAAAACAGATGCAAGCGTAGTCTTTGGAAGGTAACCCCGAAGATAGATACTTTAGTATGCCATCAACTTAACGCCGAGGATACTTTAGTATATCCTCAACTTAACGCCGAATTTACTTTGGTATGTACTCAACGCTGAAGATACTTCGGTATGTCCTCAACTTAATGCTGAGGATACTTCGGTATGTCCTCAAGTTAACGCCGAAGATACTTTGGTGTGTCCTCAACTTAACGCTAAGGATACTTCGGTATGTCCTCAAATTAACGCCGAAGATACTTTGGTATGTCCTCAACTTTTGCTGCTAGGAAGATTCCATTATTTTATATATGTCAAAACCAGTTAGTGACTATCTCCATGATGAAGAGAGTGTAAGATTTTATAGGCTACAACGCCGTGTAGTTCGGTAGAAATCCACCAACGTTTCGGAGGAACATACTGACCTTACCTGTCACCAACTCATCGCAGAATTCTTGCTTGGCTTACTCTTCTTTCCTGAGGACGAATGTGATATTTGCAACATGGGTGGAAAAGTGGTTAGAACCCAGATGTTTCGTTCTTTTCATAGCAGTTGCTGTGAGAACCTCAAATCTAACATAACCTCGATAGTTTCTTCTTTCCTGAGGACGAATGTGATATTTGCAACATGGGTGGAAAAGTGGTTAGAACCCAGATGTTTCGTTCTTTTCATAGCAGTCGCTGTGAGAACCTCAAATCTAACATAACCTCGATAGTTGAGGCACTATGCTACAACCTGGAAGCTCGCGGATTCGATTCCCGATGAGGTAATAGGATTTTTCAATTGACCTAACACTTCCATCCGCAGTATGGCCCTGGATTCGACTCAGCCTCTAACAGAAATGAGTATCAGGATGGCCGGTGCGTAAGGCAGACAACCTCACCGCCACCTGTGAGCCGATTATCTAGAAAATGTGGGATCCTCGACGTCTCACAGCCCTATGGGCCTCTACGGCCTGTTACGGGGATAGATTTGCTGTTACATTCACGGTAAAGTAACGGCAAGACAAATCGCAGGAACAAACACATGAATGTCTTAACGGAATCCCTTTCAACTGTCTATGAGTGTGAGGACGAGCTGTACGCTACTCGTAGTTGGATTGTTTAAATTCTAAGGTTCAATGACCACGCACGCGCACTGCGAGTAGCGGATATGGGTCGACGCTGCAGTAACTATGCAAATTGAATTAACGGGGACATAAAAATCTGCGAGTATGAACTTGGAGGAACAGAATAAGATCACGGAGAAAGTCGGCTTCACGATATAAGTACGGGTCCTTGACTACGCAGTGCAGGAATTCGGGAGTTAACTGCAGAATTCCTACTCTTCCCACTTTCAGCTTCACAACCTTCACAGCAATCTGTCTTGTCTCGTGTTTGGAGTGTGGCTATAGAGGAGGTATGGACTGGGTATTGAATTTGCTGACACAACTCGGAACTACGAGTACTTGTAGCACTATTGATGATCTCCACACTTTATAAATCACCACAGTACATGCTAAACTTTTTCCAGCATACTGTGTATTAACCAGCGGTTCCCTTACAACGGCTTCTAACAGTGGAGATTCTTTAGCACCCTGCGCTCAGGTTCTCTTGTCACAGACGCTCGTGCAGAACGGAACTCGACTGTCACTTGACATATAGAGCCATCTGTTCTCAGTCTCCCTTGCAGAGCTCAACTGCACTACAAATATTCTACTATTAACTCCGGAACTAGACTGACCTTGCTTACAATATATCGGCACGAACCACACAGAAAACACCGTTTACAACAGTATCTCGATCGTTGCATGCGTATCCGTTGCCGCAGGAACCCGTTTACCAAGGAGTTTCCTGGCGATAGCCAGTCGAAGTGTTTACCGGTGGTTACTAAGCAATGGCTGCTGTTCACAGAGTCAGTGTTCAGCAACGGGTCTATATGCCACAATATAAAAGAGTTTTGTAATCATGATATTCATCATTGTCATTAAGTATTTTCGGGTTATCATAGCAACGAAATATGGAGTGTTAACACGTTGTGAGTTATGCAGCAGGTCACAACCGATACAAATATTTTGCTTCAGTGTATCGTGTCTATTGTGTCAGTACGGATAATATGTTGATGTGGAAGTGTGAAGTGCATTACACTACACAAAGAAGATAGTTAGCGATTCACATTTTGTGTGCAACAGCAACGAATTACACATACAACAATAAAGAATAATTAAATTCTTCGTTTTATATTCGGTCTGTGTCGTATAAAAGGAAGTAGGTGATTAGTTCTTCGAAGAATTTCTTTTTAAGTTATACAGCGAACCCTCTGCGATGCTATTGAAAGGAAAAAAGAAAAGGAGCCATCCCAACCGTTTGAATTTCCTGTATATATTTCAGTTTTGTGATGGCTGTTATAGTAAGTAGTTTCACTATTTCACTGCAGTTTAGTGCATGAGAAAGGGAACGAAGATCGAGCGCTTCAGCAACTGTAAGATAACAACGACTATGTGTTAGGTCCGGGCCTTAGGTGTCAAATACACAACATGGCAACGGTAACCGAAGTACGTAATACTGTCAAGTGTAGGGTTTGTGCGTGACTTATAAGACGGGATTTTATTGAATGATTCGAATTATTAACACCTTATATATTTACAACTCAGGACTACAGGCAATAAAGCGTTATCGCTGATCTACATACTTTACAGTTCACCGTTGCACAACCACCGGGGTTATAAGTCCTCACTAGTCGCATCCTGGCAACGGATTTATAAGAGTATCACTGTAACTTCAAATCACACATGAAGGCTTCTTTTCACAGACTAATTCCTTTCTTGGCATTATTCTGCAACTGACAACTCAGTTCAATTCCTCTGCTGCCAAGTTCATATCCCGGCAGGCTGGTGTCTCGAAACTCGACTAACTCTTCTCGACTGAACTCCTCTTTATAACAATTTTGCACATACCACGCAGAAAACACAGCCTATCTATTGTTGGGATGGCGTGTTTACAGCGCCGGTGTATAAAAACGGAAGTTACTCGATTGCTGTTTGTGTATTCGTTGCTTCAGGAGTGTGTTTACCGAGTCGGTTTATTCTGACTTCGCTATTCCGGGTTTCGGGCATCATATAACAATACAATTAAATTCGAAGAAAACATCCCTATCTGAAATACTAAAATCTAACATAATCTAACAACTGTTGCTAAGCAATAGGCGAATAAGAAATTGTGTTAGGCAATCTGTTTATAGCCAAGGGCAATGCTGTACTGATTCCATAGGTAACGAAACTTTCTGAAGTTACATTTTCGTATTCCGTAAG